AGGGATGGGAGCAGTGAGGGAGTTCGCCGAACACGTGCTCCTGCAGAAAGAAAAGGCTAAAACCCAGATGAAGCAGGACCGGATCGACCGTAACAACTTCTGAAGTACGAAAGAAATAATGCAAAGTAGCAGAGGATTGTAAGAGAGGGTCTGTTCGTACAATCTCTTTCCTGGAAAAATAAATAACCTACAAGGTAGATCTTGACATTGACAATATGGGCAGTTGGAAGGACCGTTTGGAAAGGATGGAACCAATCTTTTTCTGCAGGGTACAGTTTATCCAAAACGAAGTCACTGGTAAAATAAATACCTCATTTATCAAACATTAACTATATGTTATAAAAGGGTCAATACATTTTTTCAGCTGTAAACCAGTTATCCTTCCCATAACTCAAGGTTAAGGAGGTTTAGTAACCTTTAACATCAAAAAATACAGAATCACGGTAGTCTGAATTTGTTTTTGTTTTTTCCAGTTAAAATGTTAAGAACTTCAATCTGTAAAATCTATTTTCATGGGGTAATTTAAGTTTTTCAGACATTTTTTAATGTCTTATTTCATTAATATGTCTTTTATGAAGGGGTTTTTGTGAAAGGATGTGTGGATCAATTCAAAACTAGTTTTTAATGTAAATTATCGATTTATAAGGTTTGGTAGAGGTTTTTTATACAACGCCAAGGTGCTTGTAACTCTCTGATTCTCTTGGTTTTCTCAAATGTGTGTGTTTTGTAGCCTGTTAGAAGCAGAGGTTGACCTGTTCCAGTTAAAGGAAAATTCATACTTTTACTTTGTTGTTTTTTTCATTAGATATAATTTGAGAGGATTTAAGATGTTAATTTATAGCCAGAGATAATTTTTTAGGAAAGACTAAATTAAGGTTGACTCTGTTACGTTTAATGTATTTTTGCTTATTCAAACTCAAAGTCAAATGAAAAACAATAATCTTTTTATTAAGAACACCTTATTCGGGATAAGAAAATCTTCAAATATACTGTGATGTTTGTTGTTTGCGTATGTCACAATGGAATGTTTCATATGGGTTAAGTTCAGATTATTATCAATAAAAATTTGTGATCATAACTAAAATTTATGTCAATGTTTTTAAACAGTAGTTAACTTTACCCCCTGGTTTAATCACTTTCTTTAATCTAAATGTGGGAAGTTACATTTATAAAGAATAGATCAATGAGTATTTTCTAAGTGACCTTTATTATATTAATACTTGCAAGAAAGAGAATGCACAACAGCTTGTAGACATGTTCTCGATTTAAAAGAGTTAAACAAGTCATTATATGATAAAACATTCAGCACCTTTCATAAAACAACTAGAACCCTGTAAGGTTCATTTTTTCTGGGAGACAGTGTTAATATATAAACAGAGTTATCGAGTTACCCGTATCATCTTAATTCTTGTGTGCTTTGTGTGTGTATATTGTATCACTAAGTAGGAGGTCCAGAACCATCTCTTTGCTCTCAACACCCACTAGTTCTGCTGGTTCTGGTCCAGTCTTCACCATGGATCTCTTTGCTGTGAAGACAACCTTTTGGTCCATGTTTCCCACAGATTATAAAAGCATCAGACAGTTTAGCACAGTCATGTTTCAACCTTCATGTTCTGCCTTATCTGTCTATCTTCTTGTTAGCAGATTGTTTTGTTTCCTTTGTCTTTGTAACCAGATAAGAACTAGACGGTCTCATCACTTAAAACATGTTTGTCAATGTTTTGCTTCTGTTCAAATTTTATCTCAGTTTTCATTGGTCTTTTTTCCATTTTTGTGTTGTAGTTATCTTTGATTGTATTTTAGTTCTTAGAAATTTCTTGCCTCAGTCTTATTTCCCCTAGCTCCCTTCTTGCCCATGTCCACAAATGCTCCCAAACCGCTAATTAGCCTAGTTTCTCTCTCCCATTTATTCTGCTTTTGTTCAGTCACTCTTTGCTGGTTTGTCATAATTTCTTTGCCCCTTTTTTGTAAGTATTGCTGGTACTCAGTTTTTTGGATTTGTGGATTTATGTTTTGGATTTTTGCTTTTGTTGAACTTTTTGGTTAATTAAATATTCAAGAAACCACTTCAGCTTTTTGTGTCTGCATTTGGGTCCTGTTA